CTTTACCGACAAGTTATAACTTCGAAAACATCACGACTGACGGACTCGCTTTTGTGAACAGAAACTTTAACTGTACTTCGTATAATGTTCTTCGTAGTTTACTTAACTCATTGTTTTTAAGAGCATTAATAATTTTTTGATCTTTTGCGAAAAAAATTAATAAATATATTCGATGTATTTAAATTATCTTTTCTGTCGGTTAAATATAAAAAATATTTTGATTCTTTTTTTTTATCCACAGATTTTTTTTACAAGAAGTCAGTTTTTTTATCTAATTAAATATAAAAAGTCTTATATTCAATTTTTTATAATCTAATATTAAAATAGAAGATTTTGATGGCGTTAATTGCCACCGATAGAGAGTATCATTGTTATAAAATTATTTTAGAATAATGGCATCTGCGTTTCATTTTGAAGCATGGCGCGTCAATCTCTCCAACGTTAACACAGTTATGGCATCTCTTTGAAAGACGATTATGTGGCGTAACTCTCTATACAATTACACGGTACACGTGCATTTTGCTATGTCGAAACCTGGCGTTGACGTTAGCGCACGTGCGCTACGCGCAAGTGCAAGTCGAGAACTAGATCGAGTAAGATAATTATGTTCGATATTTCGCAAGAGAATTACGCAAACATACCCACTGAAGCTTTCCAGTTTCGATGTTAAGGTCGCAAAGTGAAATGCATGTTCTCCAAAAGACAAATTCTTCAATCCTTTCAAAAATATACAATATCACATTGTACAATCAAATCAGCAAAAAAAAACAAATTTTGTCGTTATTTTAGAAATTATGAGTTGTTATTATATCTATACAAATTACAATATTACATTCAATGTTTTACGGTCTCATAAAATCCTGACCTTGTATTTCTTACGTTTTGGTCAAATTGCTGTTATTTCAGTATTTGTCTGCAGTAATGTATAAAAAGATTTTGTATAAAGTTCAGATATTATTTCATAAAAAGGAACATTTCCCGCAAAATTTTTCTTCATAAATTGTGCGGTTGTACCATGACTGAGAGCAATTTGCTTATCATTTTAGTCACGAATTGCAAGCGGAGCAAGCAAAAGGTTTCCCCGTTTCTCTGTTTAAATTTCATCTACGGAGAAATTCATGTTGATAAAAATTTTTGATTAATTTGCAAAACAAAACAATATTTTTATATTAAAAATTATAATTTAGTTCTAAATAATATTGATTTAATTAACTTAGTATATTGTTTGTCATTTCCTGAGATTATATTATTCAATTATTCATATATATTTCAGTTTCTCCAATAACATTGATTAATTATAAATAATGTTATCTTCGTAAAAATTGTTTATTTATGAAATCGTTACAAATATCAAACGGTTATAAATATCAGTTTCTATAAATAGAGTAGGTATAAGTGATTTAAAATCTTTGTAAAATCATTATTAATTTATAGTTCTCATCTTAAGAAAAATTTGCTGTCATTCAACAAATAAAGGAAAAACAAGTCAAATGAAAAAAGAAAACTGCTGACTTTAACTACCGCGCTTTACTTTCATTTGTCTTAATTATTATTATTATTTCGAGAATCATAGGAGAATTTTTTTTTCTCAAAAAAAGAAAAATTTTGCATACGCAATTATTTTATAAATATATAAAAAAAATAAGTATAAAAAAAAAGTGCTCGCATAATGCTTTATTCAGATTCTCAGAAAAGTCTGTGCGCAAAGTCGATTTCATCGCTTGTGTGAAGTCGAGCAAAAAATACTTGTTAACAGCGCGTTCAATAATATGAATAATTAACGTGTTTAACTCGTCGACGTTTAAATCCTCTAGTTCCGTAATTAATAAAGTAGATGCATTCTATGTGTCATATATTTTATATTAACCTGAATAAACATTAATTTACATTTACTCATTTAACTAAGGCATATTAATAATTATCTTATTATAGCATAGATAATTTCTTTATTACTAATGATATATAATTTCAAACAATTTTCAAGATTCTGGAATAAAGCTGCACAATTGGAATTATTTTACATGAATTAATACTTATGCGCACCCATTCCCGCGCTGATCAGCCTTAATTTTATTATTATTTATTATTCTAAATAATTTTATTTTTATAATACATATTTTTATAATATATATAACGATTATTTTATACAAATTTATTATTAATTAAAATTTTACTTAATTTGAGAAAATAATTATCTTTGAAATTAATCGCTCTAATTAATATATGTGTCCGTGAAAATATAATTTTGCTGAAATTAAAATGTTCTGTCGAGATTGAATAAAATCGCGAAGATATATAAATATTTTATTGATTTTTGTTCTTTTGCTGCGTAGCCTTCAACCTTCCGATATTGAACGAACTACTAATTTCCAGTAAATGGTGTGCACGTTATTGTGCAGATATAGAAAGCCGATTTATATATCGCTTCGAAAGTTTTCATATCGAAGATAGAAAGGTTGTAAAATGGACACGATCTTTTCCGCGGCATACCTTCGTTTTTAGTTTTGCGATAAGCTTCTTATCTTTAAAACGGTGTAAACTGAATTCTAAAATATCATGAATTTCAGTGAGCCGTGAAAGTAGCATGTTTTAAACGAGTTTTTTAAACTAATTTATTCTTTGAAAATAAATAACTCGTATATAATATGTAATATAATATTCATGAATATTGGCTAAATAGTTGAACAATAGCGTTTTAATTTTTACATTCGAAAATAACTATTCAAGAAACAATCGCATTCGTTGATTCGATATCGATCCGTTATATTTTATAATTCTTAGTATAGAAAAATTGTATTCATATATGCAAACTTATCGCGAATAGTAGGAAACTTTATATTAAAGAACTATATATTAAAGAAATGCTGCATTATTTCTAATGAAATTTGACCAAATGTCAATGATTGACTTTTGACAGCACTTAAGTAGAATTTTAGTGAATGTCGATACTTTTCACTTCTCTTTTTTATCCTTGAATGTATATTATGTTATGTCAGCCTTCCCTGATAATCTGAGAAGTAAACTCTTACCGTTGGAAGTTATTTCCGTTCATTCTTCTACGAAGTGAACGAGAAAATCTTGGAATGTGTTCGAGTGACAAGGATCTCTAACAGCCAATATTTTTATTATTTGATAAAATCATACAATAAATTCAGGGTTGAGTAGTGCTACATTAAAAAGATAAAAATTAAAAAGATAACTAATTTTAACTTTTTACATTTTAGACTCTTAACTTTTTAGTTTAATTTAGTTACATTTTAACTACTACTTTTAATTTGATTTTTTTGGACTCCTTAAATACAATGACTCCTTAAATACAATGCGAGAGGCTAATAAGTATATAATTTAGTAATTTTATATTGTATAATTGTTACTTGTGAACAAAAATAATCAAATTCTTTAATAAATAAGAGAAAGAAAAATTATGTAAAATAGTCAAATTTTTTTTTTTTTAGTTATTCGTTCGAACCAAATTTAACTTTTATTTTTTTTTACTTTTATTTTAATTACTTTTATTTTAATTACTTTCTTAACTTAACTTTTAATTCAATTATTTTTGTTATGAATTAACTTGTATTTTAATTAAATTTTCAAGGCTGTTAACTTTAATTTAACTTAAAGTTAAAAAAAAGTTAACTTATCTAATCCTGAATAAATTATCTTCTATCATTAAACAATTTTACATCGCGAAATTTTTTTTGTTACATTTTACGAAGAAAATTATGGCGCCATTATTTTATTTCTATTATTATTTTTAACATTATTTTTATTTCTATCATTATTTTTATTTCATCATTTATTATATTTATTATATCATTATGATTCTTTATGTTAAAATTATGCTAAAATAATTACTTTCTACAAATCATATTTGGATTCATTTATTTTATTATTATCTACCGTTATTTGTTTAATCTTATGTGAATGATTTTTTTATTTCTTTGTAGAATTTTCTGCTTCTGTCACATAATCTATCTAAATTTTCTTGTATATTTTATCATTTTCTCTATACACGAAGTAAAGACTTTGTTTGATTTTCTTTGAATGTTTTGTTGCTATCACAGAGAATACTGAATTTAAAGTAATTCCTTAATTTCGAGTAAAACTGCATGCACCCCCCCCCACACACACACACACACACACACACACACACACACACACACACACACACACACAAATATTATTTTTAAAATGCAAGCGGTGACAAATATTTCTTTTCTCGTATAATTTTCATTATCCCGCTAAGAAATGGAACGTTTCCTTTAATAAAATGAATGTTTTGTCGCGTTGTAGATCTTATCGAAATAAGTAAAAATATTACGTTATTAGAAATGTAAAACAACTGCCATTGTGATAATCAAGATTTAAAACAAAAAATTTTCTCTCTACTGTTTAAATTAAATGAAATAATTCTTTCTATTATATTCTTCTTTATTATTTAAAGGAAATAATTCTAACATTTTAATGCACGTGCACAGTTCTTTTTTATGAATCGCATCAGCTCGCCAAGAAGATGCGTAATCGATGAAAAACTTTTTTCAATAACATCTTCACCGAAGTGATTATCTCAGCTATGGCCTTCATGGGAATCGATTATTATGATCTCAAACAATTTTCGATATTGGTTCCTCATATCTACATGACGTGGTCATGTATTACGTCTGACCGACCACAATCGCAGAGATTGGATTAATTGTCCTTTGCGATAGCTGTCTCGATTATGGTTTATTCTATCCTCTACCTTTACGCATTTGATCTATAGACGCTTCTCGTAGCTTCTCGTCTGATCAAACAATATTGATGTAACTGGCGACGCGGATTAAATTGAAGAATTCCTTCTCATTGTTCGCGATTGATATCCGGTTATCAATATTCGATTGCACGACAATTTAATATCTTATTCCACTGTGATTCGAATATTTTTTTTGTAATCCATTTTTCTCCATAAGTCGAAGTTAAATACGAAATTAGATATGAATTGTATTCTTTCTCTGTTTCAGAGACTATGAGAGCAGCAATATTCTGGATAATTTATTATCCCGCATGGAGCAGTATGCCACGAATTTAGAAACGCTGGTAGAAGAACGTACGGCTGACTACCTCGAAGAGAAACGTAAATGCGAGGAACTTCTTTATCAGTTACTACCAAAGTAAGTTTTCACAGAACACGAATAAAACAGATTTTTCTTTTAGAAAAACCGATTTGGACTGCCATTACATTTGCTGTAAGAGAGAAATTTATCCGAAGTAATTTTCGCGTTTCGTACAGCAAATAACTATAAATATCTAAACAACCGAATTATTTATCAATAAAGATATAAGATTTCTAATTCGAAAGCGACATTTGAAATAGAGAAGACCTTGTTGGTACAGTTTTCATAATTTCGGTATTAAATTTTTTTTTCAATTAATTATTATGATTAAAATATACTAATATGATAGAGAGAATCTTTTCTATATTTTCATACCAGTAATGATTCTATACACTGTATAGTTTCTTTACAATAAATGTAATATGAACATGTTGCATAGTCAACTTGCCCTAATATATGGGATAAATAACATATATATCACCGTGTAAATTGCCTGTACATATACTTTATATTATAAACTTTACTTATAAACTTTATATTAAATAAAAACATAATAGAAAAGTAATAGAAATCAGATAGTAAATAAATAAAAATCAGATAGTAGATATGTACTTCTTAGAAAAAATGTATTTTTCAAAGTTATTTTATAATAATATATCAAATAGCAAAGTGTCATTAAAGAAAAACAAATATAAATTATTTTAAATACGATAGAAAACGCTATCATTTTGGTCGAAGTTAGATGTTTCGAATAATGCAATATAAATTCTTTTATGAAATAAATTTATTTCAGATATGATTGCGCGCCGATAACTTTCGGATTTTCAACAGGTAATATTTTTCGTAATAATTTCTTTACAGTTTTTCTAATTTAGAGGGAATTTAGGGGGATTAATAGCGTTTCATACTGTTTGTATTGAAAGTTGGAAAGTTATCGGCGCGCAATCATATCTAAAATAAATTTATTTAATAAAAGAATTTATATTGTATTATTCGAAATATTTAACTTTGATTCTCCTTTAATACGAAATTATTTACTTGCCTCTTCTTGAGTTAGATTTTTCTATTTTTCTATTGTAATTGTTCGATTTAAATGAAACTTAGAGAAAAAGTACCTATGTTATAAAAGAAATATTTTGCGGTAACTTTTCCATTGTTTTTTTCATTATAAATGGAACGCAAAGTCAATTTGCCTTTTATGCCAATTCCCGATCTTCTCTATACATA